GTGTTTCTTTTGAAGTTGACGGCCGACTTGAAGTGCATACAACATTGCCGTTTATAGGAGTTAAGTTTACAGTTCCATTTTGGCAGGAATCATCCATTATAGTTTCCGTTTCATTGGAGACAGTAGTAGTGAGTGGTGTTGAATCGAGTTGTGCATTTCGAAGAATCTAGGATTACATTCAATATATTAATAAAAAATAATTTAGTGAAACGGGATATTTTCTTAGCTGAAATATTCTAGCCAAAGCAAAAAAATCAGTTGGCTTACAAAACTCTAAGTTTCTTATTGTAAGTTACTGCCAATAACCTTTACTCGAAATCGGCTTACCTGTCTTCGTTCACGAGGAGTTTTTTGTCTAACACTTTGCAACGGAACCACAGAATCAATAGTAGGAATGGCACCTTTTTCTAATCTCTTTAAAGTCGGTATGTCTTGTAGAAGATCGGAAGAGCCGACTGAAATATCCAGTCGTCTAACATAGCATGTTGGCTCAAAGTGTGCAGAACACAAAGCAGAAGTAGACGTTGTTTTGAAAGCTGGTCGATGTTTACGTACAAATTTCACCCATTTTGCTTTTAGACTCTCGTCCACCGGGAAACGATGCATCCAAATTCCTGGTGTATACGTAGAATTAGTGCAACTAATGTTCCCAGGTCCTCCTGCTGCACAATACTTTCCGCCACGCCGAACTTGAACACTTTGGTCCGCCATGTTGGATTTGAGCAATCAAACCCCTTGACGTCACGCATACTAATTTGGCCGAGTGACTTTTGTCGCATAAATTCGGGTCAATTACCAGATTTCAAAGGCCCAAAAAAATATTTTAGCGTGCTTAGATTTCTTTGAAAATTTGCATACAGATTGGATAAATGTTTCCGTTTAAATGAGCTTATTTTCGCTTCATAAGCACTTTAAAGTTTATTTCTGAACTAAAAAAACAGAATATAACCCCCAAAATAACCAAAATATCGATGTCGAAAATGGCCTAAATTTGAAGAGATTTCAACGGCTTTCGGCCGATAATCGCCATAGGAGGCCTGGAGCCGACTCTTCTCGATAGTTTGGTAAGCCTGTGCCAATATTCTCATTTTCTATTCAACTTGAAATGCTACAATTATGGACAAAATTCATGGAACAAAGAGTATGCCTATATGTCTACGAAAACTTACAGACAATTTCTCCCCGTGGCCCCCCATTTCCAATGTTGGGCTCGAAACAAACCCTCCTTCCATACCGAAACATTCACGCCATCAACATTGTTAACAAACATTGACTGTGGGGGGGAGGGGGAGGCTTTGAGTAAGCATTAAAACAGCCCATAAGAGAGCGCATCTGCTAGAGCGCAGCAATAGCGTTCTGTCCAATTCAGTTTTGTCTAGGATTCACGTCTGAGTTGAACCCAAATATTTTTTCCCAGGAATTCTAAGTCTAAAATATGCCCACCGTATTTCTTACAGTATTTCTAAGACCGATGCGTTATTTCCACTATGAGTAGAGCATTATGCGTTGAATGAAGTGCAAAAAAATGCATGTTCCAATCCCAAGTAAATAAATATTACGAGGTCCTAAAGTACATAATATAGCCTAAACATAAAACAAACAATGCAAATGTCGATCACGGTATATGACTGTAATGAGATTATTGACTACACTGGACCCTGTTCTATATGACGTCACAATGACGTCAGAGATATCAGGTAATTTTTATAAATTCTATATCTATATCTAGATGGTCAGTTAAATATCATATTTACTGCTCTTCTGGGAAGTTGTGGTTCGTTTTGCATCTATGGTAACAGGTGTGACGTCATAATTGTGATGACGTCATTTCCTATAGTGTCTTTGTCGTCTTTGAATAATTTGACTCCAAATCTCACCTTTTTTTGTCTACATCGTTATTTTATGTTAAAATTTACAATTTCAGGAGTTTTTGAAGTTAAACGATTTGGAACAAGCAATTTTGAGAAGAATATCCGCCATCTTAGGATCCGCCATCTTGGACCGCCATCTTGAATTYTCWAAAATKCSATTWAAAAACTAAGCATTGAGGCAAACAGCTCAAAATGTCTTAAATAACCAACGTTTAATGAATAAAAAAAGTGAGTTTCGAAGTGCTACTGATGATTTTAATGAAAGTTTCTCCCATGTGAAAAAATGACTGAAAATTACCTACCCCTCCCATCAAAATTTTTGTTGTCAAAAAGTAGTATGGTATTGTAGAATCAGTAATGGGAGCAAGCTCAAATAGGTGAAAGATGCATAATAAAACAAGAAATAAGCTTTAAAAATGAAAAATTAAGCATATTTTACATTTTCGAAAACCTATGTTGCAAAAAGTGGTTGCCATGGCGACATGGATGATGTTATCAACAAAAAAAGTACATCAAAATCTGCCCAGATAAATTTTAGGAAAAGTCCGAAAGTTTCAGAGCTGTAGCTGTCTTTGTCCGAAAGTTATTGTTTTTTTACGCGAGGGGGGGGGGGAACCAAAAGCCCCCCCCCCTGTCTAAATAGGGTTAAGAGCTTGATTTCCACTACTGCATTTAACAAAATAACATTTACTTTCTGTATATTAAATGAGAACGACACTTTCATTGATTTTTAATACTTAGTGTTATCTTGTAATATTTCGCATGTTTTGTAATTACTTAACTCTTTCCCGTCTGCCCCTTGAAATTTAGGTCCAATTCGACCTATGCGTCAAAAGTCTATAAGTTGCCGAAATAGTAAGCTAGAGCCCTGAAATTGCTCGTACKAACTTACTAGTAGATACTGTCGATCTTACAGTTGAAAGAATTTCGCAACGAGGAAACAAAAGCCACAAAACATGACTCTCCTTTGAAATGAATGCCAAAATCTGAGTTTGAAGGACGGCAGAGTACACTGATTTTCATCTCAATTTGTAGCGTCAAAATATGTTCTCCTAGCAAAAAGTCCACTTGGTTTGCAAACCCCTTTGGTAGAACGTCCTCATTTCGATGTTTTTATTTTGTCAAATGCACTGCAGATTTTTAAACAGCCCAGGTACCAGGTACAACAAACTTCTATGCACGATCGAAATGCATAATGGGAAGACGGAAAATTTGGACATAAATCGTGCAGTGTGAGCTCCCCCGCACCTACAGGCAAAATATCGGGCCAATTGCATTCTTTGGTTGTCAAATATTGCCAAAATTACCTTGGTAGGTTGGAAAATCTGCCACAGATGGACCAGGAAAGCGATCTTACAATGATGTCTCCAGTTCAAAACAAACCGTGACTTGGAGCCATTGTCTTCGAAAAATCGCTTTCCACCTCTGATTTCTTCCAGAAGATTGTCTCTGCCGACTAGTCAAGCTTAATGATGCAAGTCTAGGGGCTCCTGTGGCAGCAAAAAGCTAAAAAAAAAACACTTATAAACGGGTTTTTAGGTAAATTTAGGCTCAACCAGTCGATAAACAAACGGTCTGACCTAAATTTACAAATCCCTGCATAAATTAATGCTCCCTAAGGAATTCAAATCCGAAATAGTTTTATTGACAGCACCTTATATGGAAGTCAATTATTTTATCAAGATGTTAGGGTCGAAAAAGCTCAAAGATCAACAAATCGACATCAGTCGACAATGAGTTAAGTGACTTTGTCGACTGTTCGACCTCGAATGGCTTTTCAGTATTTTTACTGACAAACAAGCTCAAAACCKGTTTTTCAGAGCGAGTTTGCAACGATGATTGGCGGACGGCAAACTTGCAGTCAGACCAAGGCCACAAATCCTAAAATTTCTACAGTTTTCCACTCTTAGCTCGATTAGAAATATCATTTATAAAGAAAAGACTTCGAAAGGTTGTTACTGAAGAATTGAAAACAAGTTTAAAATCATATTTTGAGTCTTTTTTGGACGAGCGACACTCGAGAAGTCAGTAGTTGACTTGCCAAGCCGACTTCAAAACCTACTTCATGTTTACTTGTGAAAGAAAGCGTACTAGTGGACATTCTCAATCAAAAAGTAGCTGAAAAAACTCAAGTACAGGGGCCGCGGAGACAGAGGGGCTGGGGGAGGGGTCGCGGACTCCACTTTTTGCTTCCGAAAAATTAATAATAAATGAAATTGATAAGATTAAAATAAAAAATACAAAAAATCGATGATCAGAGCTCGACTATACTGTGACGACATCAAGTTGGAAACGTTAACCCACATTTTTGACCGCTCCGCGGTCACTGCAAGTACAGAAACATTTCATAAATTCATCGCATAATTTGTTCTGGCATGGAATATTCAAGAAGAAATGACAAGCAAAACAGCTCTGATCTAGTTTCACTGCAAGAAACGGGGAAGGTCGCAACTCGCTGCAGCCGGCATGCAATCTTCATTCTTGTTTACGTAGATGAACTGAACTTGACAAACTTTTAAATGTATTATGCAGTTATTTAATAAATAGTATTTTGATAATTTTGACGTTATATTTATGAGTTTTGGTAGTATTTTTTCTTTTGAAAACGTTGCTTTTATCGAGTTAATTGTGTTTTTGTTTTTGCTACTGAATTTGCAAAAACTGAAAATATTTTGCTTCTTGAAATCTTGAGAAAGTGAATAGACAAGTTGTTTGGTACTCAAAAACAATTAGGGAGACAATACATTTTGCCAGGGTACACGGATTTTGTGAGCAAATTGTTGAAATAACGAAAATGTTTTAATCAGATCTAAGGTAGCTTATCGGGGCGTTGAATTCAGGTTTCTCACCGTTGAATTCAGGTTTCTCACCGTTGAATTCCACTTGAAATACCCTCTCATCCGGTTGACGTGTTGACCAATCAACGCACGACTTTAAAACTGAGGTATGAGATTCTAGTGTGAATTCACTTCCAGCTAATTAAATATGCACGACGGCCTCGTTTTCGTTTGTACAGTCGCTTGTGATAAAGTACATAAGTCGCTTGTTTGAGCGACAAACCGAAAAAATCGAGGAGCGAATACTACGACTTATGGAATCAGTCTAGCAGAGCCAGTAATCTAAAAATTCTCGAATATAAATGGACATTAGCAAAATAATATCGCTAAAGCTTGGTATACAGTTTTGTGTTGGGTCAACATGGGATTGCTTGGTTTCATCTTTGCATTTAGCTTTTGTAAAACATCAATCAGATATAATAAGATTTAAATATAACTCCAAAAAAGGAGTTTAAAAAAGTAACAGATAACTCCTTTTCTGGAGTAGATATTATTTCACCAATCATAACAGTGCACCTGGAATAGTAATTCTGACTTCTCTTCTAAGAGAAATTTTCAACCCTCTTTGGAATGATTTTGACTCTCTTAACGAGCTGAATTAAACCTCTAGAATATAACCTACTCGCATTATAGAGTAGATTTTTCTACGGTATTTCTTATTATCCTGTCTAAGACAAACCAAAAAATATATCGGTCGTTTATCTAAATTGTCGGGCCTGTTTAAGACAATTTCGGGCGAAATGTATACCCTGTTTTAGACAGCAAGGCCAAAAAACCATACCCTGGCCAGCGGCACGTCCTCGTATAGCAAATATATGGGAGTACCCCCCCCCCCCCCCCCCCCCGGCCCCCCAGACTTGCAACATCTATATTAGAAATGTCTTAAATGTCGTAAAAAGGGCTTCCGTTTCTAGATAACAGATTCTTGAGAAATATGAATACTGGCTTGTTCATAAAAGTGTCCATGATAACTCTACGCAATAACTCAGTACTGATTAGTGTC